AGTGGAATCAGATTGGCAGCAAGTCTTCCCCCATTGGATTTGTGTTCATAATACTAAAATTTGTAAGCTGCCCCAAGTCCTGTTAGAGAGGGGTGGGATACGGATGATGATGATCATCATCATCATAATCCCAGAGAAGGCTCCATATTGGGGTGGGCAATTCTCACCTTTTGGGTGCCTTTGGACTACAACTCCATATTGGGGTGAGCAATTGGACTATAACTCCCTCATCATTGGCCTACAATGACTGTGGCTGATGGGAGCCGTAGGATAAAAACATCTGGAGAGTTATAGTGGCTTCAAGTTGACCTATATTTGTGTTCCCGTGAATGTGCATAATTTAGACCACCCACCTCCTGCTGTGATGTCACTAACTACCAAGTGATATCATTTTGCCTGATGATAATGCCTGAAAATGGTTTTAGCCTCCGCTGTGTGGCATACTTTGAATACTGGTTAATCAAGCCCACATATTACTGGAGGCTTACAAGCAAAATTCCTGGAATGAAGAGCGATTGCAATTGACAGAGGGGGCTGAATACATTTGCAAGAATAACATGGCACTGCTTGTTTCATTTACCATATTTCCCCAAGAATGAAACACTTTAATGAACAGAGAATTACAGCTCATCCCAGCAGAGCAGGAAAGGGGTTGTACTTCAAGCTCTTGCGGGTTCCATCCAGCTTTATTCACCTTGGCAAGGATTGAAACTTCATTCACGCACAGCTCTGCTAAAAATACTGACAAGCTGCTAATCAACTTCCCATAAAATGGAACTTTCTCTATTCACAATAGAAAGCCGGATGAGGAGGTGAGAGCCAAAAAAGATTTGCCCATGAATTTCAAATGAGTTTGACCTATAAAAGAAATGGAAACAGGATCCTGCCAGCTGCAAAAAGGACATAGTCACAGATCCTTTAAAATGCTGTGATGTCTGTGTGTTGTCTTTTTGAACATGGGATGCCAAGAGTTCCTGATGACTGTAATTCGTTTATTTTATTGATTGAATTTATACTCCACCTTTCTCCTGGGATGAGAGCCAAGGCAGCTCTATACACACTCTCCCTATTGTCTACACATGAAAAACACAAGCACAGACAGACTGATTCTAGGGTAAAGGCAGGTCACTGAGGCAGAAAAATATCTGTGTATCTAATTTCAATGTACACGACTGTAGGAAGGTGTATGATGAAATATCTATTTTATAACTTTAATAAAAAAATTACTTGATCTCAACAAAACCCAGCAAGACACTGTCACAACCCCCGTCTCCAGGAATGACGCTGGCTTTAGCTGGGAATCCATTGCTAACTAAACCCCCCCCGCCCACCACCACCACCACTAAAAAGAGCTTTTTCATGCAGAATATTCATTTTCATTAGGTTTATTTGACCTATGACTAGCACTTGACACAGCAAAACATGTTATGGTAATACAGTCAATATGCTGAAGTGTCCCAATTAACAAGGACAAAATGGTAAGAAAAGAAAAGAAAATGGAAATGTTACTGTTGATCTCCTTGCTTGGTGTGGCACCTAGGGCATGTCCAGTCTTACCATGCTTCTTGCTTCCCTTGCAACTCTCCTACTTCACCCTTCCTACTTTCCTGCAGGTGTCTTCTACAAGCCGAGTGTCTCTATACTTCTCTGCCACTTTCCTCCTTTTTTTCTATTTCTCTTATGTCTCTGTCCATCATTATCTGTTAAGGTCATTCTTTTTTCCAGACTTCTCACCTTGTTGTCTCTCCACCTCATTTACTTTCCTTCCTCCTCCCTCTCTATACCTGGTTAACTCTTTCCAGATCTTGTTGCATTGGCTTGTCCTTTTGCTGCCCTCCATTAATCTCCTCTTCCCTTCTTTCTTCTGCTCCTCTTTATCCCTTGCCTCATCTCATTGGGTCCCCTTCTGACTCTCTCCATTTTTCAGCCCACTACCCTACTCCAATATGCTCCATTCCTCTCTCCCCTACTTTGAGTTTCTCAGTGTCTATTTTTTGCTTCCATGCATTGGCTACTGTTTCCTTTAGCCTTTCTCCTCCCCACTCCCCACCTTCTCTCATTCAATCTCCTCCACTTAATCCATTTAATCCACTTAATCCATAATCCATTTGCATCCCTAGCACTGCTCCCCACCTCACCTTTTGCCTAGTACAATTACTGAGTTGTAGTAATTGTTTTGACATGGACTCCTCCTCAACAGTCTGAGATCTAGGATGTAACAGCACTTTAACTGACCAAAACAGCTGCACTGGCTAAGACTAAACTGATTCTTCTCTTCCTCTATTACATAATTTCATACAGTGCAGTTGTTCTGGGTAGTTAAAGGGCTTTAACTGCTGCAAAGTAGTAACTCATACTCAGTTGGATTCATCCTGAGTCTTCATCTTTGCCTCCCCTTGTATAATTGTTTGTATGAGTACTTCAGAGAAGTAAAGTACACTTGAGAACAACTGGATCAATATCCCAAGGGGAAAAAAAGATACAGGTAAAGGAAAATAATAAAATCATAGAGTTAAAAGAGATTTTAGATGATATATAGCAGAAGACATACTGTTTCCCACCCCAATTTCCCCCGTTTTCTTACCATCTTCGAACAAGTCTCATGGAGGCTATCCCATGATGTAGAGCCATTTCTGGTGGCTGTGCATGGAAATCTATCTCAGTTGTATGTGAAGACAGTCAGAACATTTCCTTTTCAGCAGTCAGGAAACACCCGACTCATGATTGAAGACAGTGGTGGGAAGTGGAGGAAAGACGGAAGAGGATGGGGAAATGTGGGATGGCTGGCCATCCCCAAAGAAGGATCTTGCTAGGGTAGGTCAGGTCCCCACTCTTAAGGACGATTTCCCCCTCCTTCCCTTCTGCCCATAGGACAAAGTCCTTAGTTTACAGCAGTGATAGGCAACCTGGTGCCTTCTGGATTACAGCTCTCATAATTCAATACAGTTGCTCATGCTGAGAGCGCTAGGGCTGAGAGCGGCGGTCAATAAATGAAGCAAATGAAGCAAAATGCTGGCTGGGGCTAATGTGGTCCTCTATTGGGTTCTCTTAGGTTACACAGAATTCACTGCCACATGCAACAACCATTTGCCTAGATAACTCTACAACAGGAAACTAAGCTATTTAAGGTATGATTATCTAGTACCTTACATAGCCATGATGTGATGTTCTTTCTCTTTCTACAACTTGTAATTTGGAAAAGCCTACTTGTTTCACCAGGCTGCCTCATACCCAAGGCATCCATACAAGCAGGAGATAGAAAGAAGACCATACAAGCTTGCTTCTAGTACTTCAACATCCTCCTTACATTGTATGTATCATCCTAGAAACATAGTGGGCTGAGAATGTAAATTTTCAGATGTAATTTATGTTATCAAGACTGCTTGCACCTTGGAGGGATTGAAAAAACCACTTTTTGCTTCTGAGTGTCATGTGCTTAGCAAGGCAACGGCTAATCAGTATGGAGCAGGTAATGACAGCATTCATTTTAATCCTGGAGAGGACTTGGTAAGTATTGTTTCCTGACAAGGCATGCAAATGACGCACTCTCATTTTGTCCAATTATTTTCTCAAATTTCTTGCAATTACATTGCAATTTTCTTCCAGGGGACAGCTTGACAAAACGTCTGCTGGTGGCTTTTACTTCTTCCTTTATTTGTTTTACACAATATTTGTTTTCACTTCCAAAATGGAAAGCTCAGTGGATAGAAAAATATGTGGTGTTGGTTGATGTTTTGTCGCATTTATTGACAGAAAACATATCCATATACACTGTCTCTTACTCAGACTTAGTTATGGCATATTTCCTTAGGGTCTGGGGCTAAGACTAAAATGTCTCCCTGTACAATATGATATATAACCATGTTATTGCCTAAGGTGATCTCAAACATTTCTAACTTGCTAAAGGGGATTGCAGGCAATCACAACTTTTTATCAACTGGCTAATGGGAGGCTCGCTCATCTGATAAGAAAAGTCAAACAGAACTAGCTAAGTGTAGTTGAAAAGGATAGAGAGGAGCTGCTAATATAATCACTATATTTGCTTCTATATAAGTTGACCCTATGCTGTATAAGTCAAAAGCAAGATTGGGGGTCAAAATTATTGATTAGACCCATGGATAAGTTACAGATCATTTTGTGAAGAGAGAAATATCAATGCCAACTCAAGGGAATAGGAAACCCTAGCCACCACTGCTATTTTCTTGCCCAGTCAAGAACACAATGGGAACGTGATGGAGAGAATAGAGGGGGTTGGTGATTCTTTTAGGTTCTCCCAGAATGGACTAAGACCCTGCTTTTTGCTACTGTATTCAGAAAATGTGATGGTTCCTCTTTTTAATAAGGGTCTCACATTGATCAGTAGATAAGTTAACACAGGTTTTGGGAGTTGATTTTTTTTTTTTGCCTAACATTTCTAGACTTTTGCATTGAGTAAGTAGGTTTCTTTCTGTCTTCTTTAAGTTACTAATGCAAACAAAGGCAACTCCAAGCAAATTCTGAGTAATGTTTTCCCCCAGGTATTAAAAGTAAGAACAACAAGAACAACAAAAATGAAGAGTCAAACTATACTAGTCTTCCTACATCTTGGATAATGATGCAGAGCCTTTCATGAAAAAATATGTCTTCCAGGTAATGGGACACAGTAATGGAAATGTACAGACTGATGATTATGATGATGTTTGATATGAATTCCACTTATGGTATTACTGATCTTCTATAGTGAGCTATTCTGTTGATATCTAGGTGGGCATGGAAAATACAAATTAAAGCACAAGCAATAATAGAACCATACTTCAAGGCAGGAACAGCTACAAAAATAGGGTTTGCCATTTGGCATTTCAAACATTTTATTCCAAAAACAGACACAGTGCTTCTGTTGATTCCGATTTAGAGAAACAAGCTTTCTTTCTGGAGGTGACTCACCACCAACAGGCTTTGGGAAGTAAACAATTCGACCAGCCATCCATCGTGGATATAAATAATTCAGCTATTTCACTCACCCTAACCAGCTGCTGAGGGAAGGGTCCTCTCGAATTTTCTGGCACATTGATCGGTGGGATAACCCAGTCTCGCTTCTGCCGCCTGAGCCCATGAGGATTCTGGTGATGGCGCCACGGTAACAGTGTGTCACTTGGCTGTTGCAGCAGATCTGCTGACATGTTCTTCTTTCCTTTCTGCTGATTTGGAGAGGGGAAGAAAAGAGAATTATTTTGCTTTTATCTTAAGTTCCATTCTCTTTTTTAAAAAACAAACAAACAAAAAAATCAACAAAAGAACAACAAGAAAAATAAGTCATCAGGGATGGTTGCTATGTTTGTTGAAGCTTGTTCAGGTTGAGAAATAGCTGCACAAAATTTTTATTGTTATTGTAATGAGGCAAACATCTCTGTGTTAGAAAATCATGCAGCGCTTTTATTGACATCTTTGCTATGGCTTCATTTTTACAGACGTATGGAGCTGTCATTAGGCAATCAAGCCTTCTTCCACGACGGATTGTCTTCATTATACCAACGGCAGGAAACTTTATCAGCTCCTTGGAGGATAAAATCTGCAGATTTCTAATAAATATAATCAATCACAAGAACAAAATGAAACAAGGCACAAACACCCTCGGCGTTACCAGTGGTTGGTCTGGATCCATTATGCAGCATTAAGCTCTTTGCTAGCCTGAAATTTTAAAAGTGTTGCTGACTTATCTGTAGCTATTATGGAATAGGATTCATGAAGAAAGATCAAAGGTTGCTGAAAGAGCTATCATGAGAGAGACTCAACATGGCACAAAGGGTTCCAAAAACATTGGTATTTGTTGGATACTCTTAGCTATGCTAAGGATATTCATTAACAATTTTTCACTGTTTATAATGGGATGCTGGAAAAGCTTGCTGGGATATTATCAAACTCTAGAACAGTTTTACCATTCAGCATAAAAAAGAGGCAAATAATATCTTGCAAAAATATTGCATTTCCTCTTGCATGCCACACAATTTGACTGATTTATCAAAAAGATTGCTTCTACTTTTAAATTGTCTATGGGCCTCATCAGACAAGGCAATTTTAGCATCCTAGCACTTCCACCCTGTTTTGGGGATGGAGCCCCATGCTGGCCATCACATGACATTGTGTCACTTTTTGCAGAGGCCCCACCACCAACTGGGGTGCAAGTGGCCTTGGATGCTTCTCTTCCAACATGGGAAGCTGCCCATGACCTGCTGGCTCCAATGGAACCAGCATGGTTCCTTGCCAGGAGAGTGATGCTTCCCATGTGCGATGAGAAAAGCATCACCGCACTACTCCCCTCTGTCTGGCAGCAAAGCGAGGTGAAGTGGAACATTTTGCCTTGCCTTTGTGATGAGGTCATAAGCAACAAGGATGCAGCCCTCTCAAATTTAGCTACTCCATTTGTACAGTTTGTGCAAATTGCACTAAAATCTTTCTGGTTCATGTGGAAATTTCCCCCCCTTCTGTGAGTGTCATATATCTATATAAATAAAAATGCAATGTTTGTTTGTGGGATTAACATAACTCAAAAACCACTGGACGAATTAACACCAAATTTGGACACAAGACACCTATCAGGCCAACGAGTGACCATCACTCATCAAAACACTGAAAAGCACAACAGAAGAGACTTAAGAAGCCAAAAACAAAAAAAAATACATTACAACGCATATACCACATATATACACAAACACACAGATATACATATATTCACAAATATATGCACACACATATATGCATATATATACATACACAAAACACATAGACACAGACTGGGCCGCAGCAATGTGTGGCAGGGAACGGCTAGTGAGAAATAAAAACCAAGAATGTACACTCCTAGTCTGTGTGAAGTTCTTTACCTACAAGTGATGGTAAAGTCAATATTACTTTGTGCTCTATTCCAGTTGATGTTCACCAGAGAAGTCTTATTTTCCCATTTTTGGAGAGTGTAGATCAGGGGTCCTCAAACTAAGACCCGGGGGCCGGATGCGGCCCTCCAAGGTAATTTACCCAGCCCTCGCTCAGGGTCAACCTAAGTCTGAAACGACTTGAAAGCACACAACAACCACAATCCTATCTCATCAGCCAAAAGCAGGCCCACACTTCCCATTGAAATACTAATAAATTTATATATATATATTAAAATTGTTCTTCATTTTAATTATTGTATTGTTTTAAAATGGTTTTTGGACTACAAATAAGATATGTGCAGTGTGCATAGGAATTCATTCATGTTTTATTCAAATTATAATCCAGCCTTCCAACAGTTTGAGGGACTGTGACCTGGCCCTCTGTTTAAAAAGTTTGAGGACCCCTGGTGTAGATGTTTTATCTGGCTTACATACAACCAAAATGTATCTACATAATCAGAACACTTTGATTCAAATAGAGGCATACATCCCAGATAGCTTCATTGCTGCCTTTCAGAGGACTGCATTAAAGATGTCTAACTTTCCCATTATATCCCTGGATTCCAAAACATGGAGTCACAGCAATTAAGGTGCTATCAAACTGCTTCAGATTTGCGGTATGGCAGCATTCCAAATATCTTATGCTATAACATTTCTGTTGCTCTGCTTCTCCACCTGGCTATATGCATAAAGAAACATCCTCTCCCCTTCCAGAACTTTTGAAGCCTTCAGGATTTGTCTATTTACATGCAGGGTCTATTTTCCGAGATACATAAGACAGATATTGAACTTATACTGTGGCATGATGTAGCCATTTATTGTTGGCTCCCAGCATTGAAGTCACATGTGATTCCCCAGTGAGAATAGTAGCATTAAATAGCTGCACAACTGGCTTAAAACAAATGCTGCAGCTTCTTTATTACTTTTACCATCTTGACCATATTCTGATGCTACTTGTCAAGATGTATCCCAGTTTTCATCTGTTCAATATTGGCTGTTACGTTAGCAAGTGAACTTTGGCACATCATTTCAAACTGGACTATAGGTTAGTAAGGCATATGAAACTGTGTCTCTCGTGTCCACAGACCCATCTTTAGGCATGAAAAGGGGGTGTGCAAGATTACCTTTTGTAATTAACATATGGAACCCATGAATAGGCATGGTCATGAAAGCAGCAGGTTTTTTTTCCAGCATTCCTCTAACTCTTTGCTTTAGGCACGAATCTCCACAGTCCAAACCCCAGTTCCAACAATTAATGCAAATTGAAGAATATATAATCCAGATACCACTAGGGCTTTTCAAGGCTCCGGACTTGATGCCATTTCCCACCCAGTGTTGTTTTGAGAAAGGACAAGGATATATTTTTCACTCTATAAAAGGGGACTGAACCAAGAGAAAAATGTCAGGTATTACCCAAGGGTGTTATAGCTGTGCTTCTAATTTAACTCTTAATGCTACAAATTGAACACATCATTCATTAGACCCCATCTGAGGAAGTTAACATCTTTGGACCATAATTCCAATCTAATGGATCCAGGCAGCTGAACTCCCAAAGTACCCCTCCCTAAAACACTACACACCTTCTGTAATATAGCTTGTTGACTGAGAAGTTTGGTCCCAGGTTAATCAAGTTAAAAAGCATCAATTTGCAGGTGATGCGAAACACTCCTGTTTGAGGAATCACTGTTAGCCAATATAGACCAAATATTTGGAGTAATGAGGAACAAATTGTCTCAACTAGTATAAAGCTGACCCCAAAATACTGTTAAATTCTTCTTTGCTTAGTTCCTTCCCTCTCCATTTCAAGTTTTCTCTAGGACCCATACTTAATGCTGCTAGCTGAATATGCTTTTCTGGTCCTCATTAACAAGAGGTACCATTAACATAAAAGGGCATTCTGAAGCATGGAATGCACTTATGTATCCGCAAGACCTAAACACTCCCCTCACTTGGGTGTGTGAAAAAGAAACCTTTTCAAAGTCAGCTTGCAATTCCCAACTGGGGAAAATCTTCCGAGAGCAAAGGTTTGGGTCAGTTGAGATAATTGGCATGCGAGAGCGAGGGACAAATTGTGCTCTGCCAAGTTTACACCGGGGAATGAATCTGAGCTAAAGAGAGACTTGAGAATTAACATGATTCCCAAAGCCCTCTGGATGCTGAAATAATTAGTATTGGCTCAGCGAGACCATCTTGGGCTTTTCATTCTTTTGGAAATATTTGACGGCAAGGGAGTGGAACGTGCCTCTTTGTCATTCCTAATGAGGTTTTCTGACATTAGAATAGATCACCAGCATGACTTTGAGGCTGACTGTGCATGCTGCAGGTAAGGGGAAATTTTGGTCAATTTTAAAAGGGGTTCCGCCCTTCGATAGAACCATGGTGTTCCTTATACAGACAAGTAACACCAAAATTTGCACGATCAGACCCTTTTTTCTTCAAGTTTCCATTTTACAGAAAAGAGATTGTAACATCCTGTTATCAATAAGATGGAGGCCAGCTTGATCTTCTGAACAATAACAATAACAATGGAGGCAACGTCTTATATTGTCAATACAGTTGCAAATTTGTAACTATTTATTGTGTCATGCCCGACTGCCCCAACCCAACCTTGACTGCAAATAAACACATCAAAAATTGGAGATCTATTCTACTGGCAATAAGGTCACAATGGAATGATGATTCCAGTCCTCTCTCACCATTGATTTCCCATGTGACAAGGAATTGAGACAAAAGTCTTACTTTGGCTTCTTACAGCCTCACTTACTGGTGGGAAGAGGCTGGAAATGCTTCATTGCCCACATCACCAACAAAACAGACCCCCATTGCTTGGCTGCTAGCTGGTTAGTACATTTTATTGATTAGCCCATTGACCGTATCAAAAACATTTGACAAACACATACACCTACACATACAGCATAAAACCCAACGTATAACTTAAGTTAAAATAAACAAGCTGTTAACAGGGTCCTGATCCAGATCAGATATCTGCATCACCTCTACAGTTTAGCCCAATCGACTGTAAATATGCAGTTCTTAGCTGCGTTGCTTTAAATAGAAAAAAGGCTTTTTTATATGTTATTTTAGCATTCTGGACAACCAATAAAAATGTAGTTTTAATATACAGTGTGTCTTTTGTATAATGTATGGCCCAAGGTATTAATTTCTCTCTTTCCTGTACAAGTTACAACGAAATGGTACATGTGTGATAGTTTCTACCTCTGATGCTCCACAGATACAAAATCTTTCATTATATGGAACTTGGTTAAACT